CGCCTTCGTCGCCTTTCCGTTTGGGGTTGCGTTGCCGTTGCGGTTTGTGCGTGGTGCGCCCTCCAACTTCCACGCCAAACACGACCAGTCGGCAGCGCCGAGCTTGCCGCAGTTCGGGTAAGCTCGATGTTCGGGGTCGACTGCCTGTCTAGGGCGAGGCCCGGTTGTCGGTCAGCCCGTCGTCGGGGTTGGCAAAAAAAGTTGGCTGTCCCGGCGGATTGGGCTCACGATTGTGGCATCCACCGTGTTTTGACCACCTTGCCATACACGGAGGCCATTGACCACTTCTATGCGCGTGGAGGCCGACATGCGATGCAACCTGGGCCCCCCACCTCGTGGCAAACGCGTGCTGCCGCTCTCACGTGGAGGCCACAGCTCTGCGGGCTAGCACGCCAACCACCTTGCGCGCAGGCAGAGCGCTGGTCGCCATACACATCCAAGCGTCCTCCGCAGGGGCAGCATGGGGCAGCACTTTGGGGTCGAGCGGCAGGGGCGAGCGGACTCTGCCAGTATACCCCGTCCGGCACTTGGTTGGCGGTGCTCGTTTTGAAGGCCATGAAGGCGCTGCCCGCCGCATCGCCAGCCTGTGACAGCAGCAGCGCCCGAGACGTTGCGTCAATGTCGTTGAAGAGCGCCTCGAGCACGCAAGGGCTTTCGATGCCGTGCGTTGCCAGCCGAGTTATCTGGTTATTGGCTTGGAGCAGGTCGCGTTGTTCGCGCGGCGGGTGCTGCGGCATCTGTCTCCAGCAGTCTCGCGCTGGATGACGCTGAGAAACCCTCTGAGCGCAGGAAGCGGGCAGCTGCCCGCGTGCTGAGGCCGGTGCCGGTCGCCCCCACGAGCTCCAGTAGGTCGCATGGCCGCGCGGCGCAGGCGTTTGGCAGATCCAAGCCCCAAGCCTCCCATGCTCAGTGGGAAGTAGGCGCGGCGGTATACGGTGGCTAGTGTCTGGCAGTGGCACGTCGCCATCACCGCCTGCCCGCAACATCCCGCAACGTTGCCAGGCAGAGCCGACTGGCCTTGGCAGCGAAGTCTGAAGTGTCTGCCGGCGGCAAGGTTCGCGGCAAGTACGCGCTGCGGAGTCCTGGGCAATACAACAATGGCAGGGCAGCCACGCGGACTGCAGGTCGGGCCCACGGCATCCGCAACAACAGGCAGTCTTGCTCCTGCAGTCGTTGGGCGAGTTTCGCGATTGCAAACGGGGCTGCCCCTTTGCAAGGCGGATGGGAGGGGAAGCTCGTCAAGGAGTCCCAGGGTTCCTCACCTGCGCTGTTCCACGCACGTGTTTTGCCGAGATGCACCTGGATGTGGGCACATCGCGCGAAGGCTTCTCACACCGACGGCAAACTGGCCGGCTGTGTGTTTGGATGTGTTTGGATGTGTCTGGGGGGTCCCGTGGCATAGATGTCATCCAGTGTTCGACGGGTGAAGGCGGGCTCTGGCCTCGACTGGAGATCGGTGTTGTCCGGAGGCGACCAAAGAACGGCATCAACAGGTCACCTTGCTCTCTTCGTGCGCTAGGCCTTCCTCGTCGTAGACAACGCATGTGCTCAGCGATCCATAAAAGAGAGCAGCATAAGGGAGGTGGCCGGTCAGTGCGGGTTGGTTTGCTACGGCTGACATTATGCTGGGTCATGCTGGGTCGGGAGATGTGGTCGTAGAAGCCCACACCGTCGATGCTCACGGCTGTGGTCCGGGGTCGCTTTCCGTGGATGCGCGCATCGCCCGCGGGTTGCCGCGCCTGCCTTGGTGCTGAGGGCGTACTGAAATTAACGGGCAAGCCCTTGCGGTTACATATAGTTGCATGCATTCTTTCGTCGTCTAGCAGCACGCACAGGTGTTCGCTGGTGCAGCCACACGTGCCAAGGGCGGCCCTTGTACGTGCACGGCGACCGTCGGCCATGAGGCTAAGATGGCTGAAGGGCCAGAGCTCCACGGGGGCCGGATGGCAGTACGGCTCGACCAGGATTCGAGGTTCGAGTGGGCGATGTGCCGGGTCTCTCAATCCGTTCGGCGTGTCGCAGGTCGCCGGGGCCAGCGGCAGCACTGTGAGCGAGGTGGGCAGGGCCGCGGCTCGCTCCGCGCTGCGTTGTAGGTCGTCCCTTCTCGTTATCCTGCGTGGTCGTGTGTGTGGGGCTTTGGCTGTGCCGCGGACTGCCCGGCCAGGAATACCTTTTCCTGCCGGCGCAGCTCCTCTTAGGCGCGCGGCCTTCGCCGGGCGTGCAGTAGGGAGCATGCGCTGCGCCAGTAAACACAGCTTCCAGCCCGTGATCGCGAGAGTCGGTGCGTCGCGGATGGACTCCAAGCCGACACCGAATGCACTGCGTATTCAGGAGCCCTCGAAGCTGAGGGGGGGGGGGGGGCGGGAAAGGCACGCCGTTGCGGAGCTCGGCCTTGAGGTCCCCTGCAGGGCATCTAGATGCTTGTGCAGGTGGGCTGTGCGGCCGAGGAAGCGGTGGCGTTGGCGCAGGTTTGGGGACCATGTCATCATCCTCGGCCTGTGGCCCGTCGTGCGCCGGGGCTCCTCGGCCTCGACGTCCCGCATCTGCACCGTGGGGCCCGCGCTGCGACGGCGTCGAGCCGGCGCTTCGAAGGGCTCCGGTCGTTGCAGCAAGGTTCGGGCGTCGTCGGCCAGGGACTGCACTGCCGCTGCGGCGCCGCCTCCGCCATAGGTCTGGAGCAATGCGGATTGTGCCAATGCCGCCGGGATGTAACCATTTCGACCCATGCACAGCGAAACTGCGGCCGGCAGGGGCAACGGGGCACGGTGCGAATAGGGATCGACACCAGATCTGAGGCAGCACACGCGTTGGCTAAAGAGCGTCCTGGCAAGTAGGCACATCATCTGCGACAGCGGCAAGGTCAAGCGCGGACTCTACATTCTCGACTGGGCGTCCCTGCCTGCCGAATAGGGGCTCGCATGGGCTCATTCTATCTCCTACTCCCGTAACCCGTGGTCGCTCCCACTCTGCTCGGATCCCGGTGGTCCTTGGGGGAACGATTCCAGAGAAGCCGCTCCCGCAAGCGTTTAGCACTCGCGCCTGGATGACCGACAGGGTGTCCATCCAGCAAGCTAAGTACGGAGCGTGATGCTTGACAGCGGCCGCACGCAAGCCGAGTCGGGACAGCAGCGCATCCGCGAGGTGCCACCTTCCTCCGTCTCCGGTGCTGCCAGACTTCACGAGCTCCTCAACCCAGCCGCCTCCCTGCCCAACCTCCGTTCACCCGCCACCGTGGCACCGGAATGTCGGAAGGCTGTGTGCTTGTTCGCGTAACATGGGACCGTGGGACCCCCATAGCGGACTATAGGGTGACACGGATCCGACGCCAGCGAGCAGACGCAGGCATGCTCAGGCCCAGCCCAGCGCAAGAAGGGCATCAACCTCGCACAGGGGACCATGCTGTGCATGGCTGTATCGCGCAGGCATGACCTGCACGTGAGGCACCTGATTTTGCAATTTAAAAAAAAAAAGCTTCTGAGCAGTATGCTGGGGATCCCACAGCAGTCTACGACTGTTGCAGAATCCACCGTGGGACATGTCCATCTCCTGGGGCCTGAACCGCACTCGTGAGCGCGTGAGGCTATGCATACAAGAGATGGTGGGACCTTGCGTCCCTCAAGGGGGGGGCCCGAAGCCCAATCGGGAAGAACGGAAAACGCCTTGCCCTTCACAGCAGAAAATTCCGAGTAGAAGAATTTCCAGTACTGAAGATTCGAGCAGCGAAATGTTCTGCAGCGGTTCTTCATCGAAATATCAATATCGGAATCGAAAACTAGGCACGTCCACATACCCTGATTCCGTTGGAGCCTACAAAACCGAACCTTGTGGCGAAATACCACCGAGAGCTGAATTCGGAAAATCCTCCGCGAACCTCCGCCGATACCGATAAGCACGTCCGTCACAGAGGATGTTTACTGCCGAATCCTACGTGGAACGTCTCATTCTGCAATATTCCAAGCCTCAAGACCCAATCTACCCAAAACACAGGACGTTGCAGAAAAATGCCGGTTCCATATACGTGCGTACACTCATTCTGCAATAAACCATTAGATTCATCACATCAGATGCTGGGTGGCTCCTCACCGGCGGCATTCCAGCCGTGCGTTGTTCAGCTCCGCGCGTGCACAGCGGCACGAGTCAGCGCCAAAACATACGGAAGCCGAAGCCACAGCTGTTCGAAAGTGACCATGCGTCACACCCACTGATCTTTCGAAACGATCTTGCAGGATGCCACGGTATGCCACGACATCAGGAGGGGAGTGGGAAAAGGAGCGAAGGCGAGCCACCGGAACCCCAAACACCGGTTTGACACCGATCCTCCTGCAGGCTGACATTAGCAAGTGGTGCTGTCGTCCACGCGCGCATTCGCTGGCAAGATGCTTCTGGAGGGAGTGGAACGCAGGGCAAGTATAAAGGCGGCACTGGCGAGGGCCAGCCGGTGGAGGAGTAAGGCCAGAACGCGAACATATCTGATGGAGACGAGCCGTCCAAAAGCAGAGGCCATTATCTGAGGACCGCTCTCGGATGTTGGTTGATCATGCGAAATGGGCTGGCATTCGACATGGACTCTCCTGTCGGGAAGGCCGCAACAAAGGATTTGGGACATGAATGCGAGCTTTTGATGTACCGCTAGCTGGACGTGATCTCGCGACAATGTTCCGCAGTCTCCGAGACGCACCAGCAATGCAGGTGCAAACAAAGGTCGTGGAGCATCGTACATGCAACGTCGACATACGTATGGCTTCGGAAGCATGAGATGAGGGGACTTGCACTTGGGAGCGAGCCCTGGGGAACAGATTCCTCATCCTCTCATTTCAGTATTCGGACTCTACCAACCACAGGCACGAGGAAGCCTTTTACCATGGCGAGTCCCTGCCAACGGCATCGAACCTTCAAGATAGGCTTTAGGGGTTAGGGTTTAGAATCATGATCTCCTCAACTTTTTTCGACCACTCTCGCAAACCACGCATCGGAAGCTGTCAGGACATCCCGGGGACATCTCAATCCTGGCAGGGCGCTTCAGCATTAGCTTCGACATCTGTGTGAAAGGCTCAATCAAGCTTAGTGAGAGACACCTTTCGAACATAATCGTCAACATCATGGTAGCCCTGGGCCCTACTCCCCTAAGCCAAAGAGCTGCTACACTTCTCTATCTCTGAAGGACCTGAATGGGTTCTGCTGCTACAGTATGGGCCGTCATACACAAACCCTAAACCCTAAACCCTAAACCCCAAACTAAACCCTAAACCCCAAACTAAACCCTAAACCCTAAATTAAACCCTAAACCCTAAACCTTGGGGCTCTGCAGGCTCCTTGCTCTGAGGCTGAGGGTTGGGGTCGAGGACTCGAAGATCAGGGGACTCGAGCTTTGGGGCTTTGCGGTCTAGGAGTCTAGGGTTTTTTTTGGGGCTTAGGGCTTCGGGCTTAGTGGCAAGGTCAGGGTAGGTTGAAGTTTCATGTGTAGCCTTGGGGGGCCCAAATCTCCCGACTTCGGACAGAAACCGCGAAAACCTCTGAACGCCAATCCCCAAAAACCAGGAACGCCCAAACCCAGAATTCAGAACCCACTCCTCCAAAAAAAAACCCAAATCGGGAAGCCTAACCCCGACATGTGTTCGAAAGCTTTAGGGTTCGGACCTTTTGGGGCTGCGGGCATCACGGATAAGCCCAGCAACCCAACACGGCCCAGCGCCCTAAAACCCCCAGGCCCGTAAACAGGAAAGCTTCAACCCTGGACTCCAAGCCGTGCACTCCCGGAAGCGCTCAAAATTCCCACCCACCGTTTCTAGGGGTTCCTTACTATGGTTTCTATGTATAGTTCCAAAAAAGAAGGGTAGGGCTTGAGCCACAAGTAGAGCTTAGAGACTCAGGGCTTGGGGTTCTTGCGTTTTCATCCGGGCTGAAGCCTCCACCTTGACGCATCTCCGGAACCCTAAACCCTAAACCTCGAGCCCAAAACCCAAGATCCTAAACTCTAAACCGTACTTAACCCTAAACCCTAAACCGTACTTAAGAGCCCTACCAATCCTAAGATCTCGATGAACCCTAAACCCCAAACCCCAAACCCAACACAAATTTTAGGGTTTAGGGTTTAGGGTTTAGGCGCCTCCTTGACGCCATGGGAGCTGACGTAGATTCCGTCCAAGAACTTTCGGATATCCTTCTTCTTGCAGAGGCAGGACCTGACTGGGAGCCCCTGGGTGTTAAGCAACTTGTTAGTGTGTTTCATCGTTTATAACCCCTATAAACCCTAAACCCTAAAAATGACATAATCCCTATAAACCCCAAACCCAAAGCCCTAAGGAATAGAATTGCTTTAGTGTATAAAGATCACTTGTTTATCGGAGATCATGTGTGGGGTTCGGAGTTTGGTGGTTTAAGGGTTAGGGGTTTAGGGCCTAGGGCGTTCAGGGTTTAGGATTTGGGATTTCGCGGTTTCAGGGTTCAGCGTTCAGGGGTTTTGGGGTTTTAGGTTTAGGACCCCAAGGACCTTTTCTAAAATATGAAGGCGCCTAACAACCCACGGCTCTGTGGTATAACATACAAATCGGTACCTTATTCCAATTAATAAGGCCCCGATATTAGCCCCACATGGCTCGTTTGGAGGCAAAATCTGCCGTGATGATGGGGAGACGGACGGCAGAATGGGCCCTTAATAGCTTGACACGGGTTTTGCGAAAACTGGGTATAGTTACTCCGGGTCAATATGTAAGTGGTTCCCGAGACCTGGACAAGGAAAGAGCTGCAGGAAAAAGGTATTCGTAATGATATCCTCCGGCAACCTACACCAAAGTCCCACTCGGACTATTCAGACCCACTGGAGACAAGCAAACAACCTCTGAGGCCCCATCTGGTGGATCAGCGCAGCAGACTGGCCCGTGAGCTCAATGTCCGTACCGCAGACGACCAGCTCATCCTGTTCAGAGCCACGGTTCAGGGGTTTAGGGTTTAGGGGGGCTTAAGCGCGGCTTCTGGTTCAGGAAGTGGGGGCTTCAGAGTTTGGGGAGTTCAGGATTTAGGGTTTGGGCTTGTAGGGTTTAGGCCGTGATGGGTTTAGGAATGCTTCGGAAGGTTAAGGGATTGGGGGAAGCTTCCTGAGCGTCAGGGGATTTGAGGCTGCAGCTTGCTAAAGCTGGGAAGTTTTGTGTCAGCGCATCTGTTTGGGAACCCGGCGAAGCCCTGAAAAAAAGAAAAACATCTGAACAAGATCGTGCCATGCATGTTGACGAGGACAAACGACTGTTCTGCATCCTTCCCCTCCAGAAATGAGGATTCCACCCCGACTGAACCCATCCGGTTTATGACAGACACAGGGTATTTTAGGGGCCTTGGTAACAAGAACAGTTTTGCGGTATACTACGATCTAACTGTAGTAGGGAACTTGTATAGGGAATAGTCTTGGTAATTACGCAGGCTTATATATTGTGCGGTCTAGGGTTGACTGGCCCGAGACCTCCCCCTCAAGCGCAGGAACAGCCAGACCCGCATGTTCATGTGAAGCTGTGCAGAGTTCCATAGAATTCACTTTGGAGTTTGGCCTTTGTGTTGTAGGGTTTGGGGTCCATTAAACTGGCATCAAGAATAAGAATAGGTCTTGGGAGTATTCTTGCACCTTTCCCATAATCACAAAGTGACTATTAGGTGAAGGGAAGACTCTAAGAATTCTTCAGACCCCTACATTGCTGGCTCCTTGGTGGACGCGCTCTTCTCTACCGTCACGCCCGGCAGCATGTGCACCTGAAGTACGATGACACACCGGGAACTACTCAACATCCTGGGGGCAGTATATACCTGTTGTATATGTATATACATACGTATATACGCACATGCATACATAGGTACTATCATTTTGCTCGAAACAGTGCGCGATCGACATCAGCATGGAGGATGCATCAAGTCCAGTGTACATCTAGACATGCGATGACTAGTCATGGCAGCGCAGCTTATGGGCGCTGCCTGCAACGTATGCAAAAAACTCCGGGGGGAGCCAATCCTGGAGGAAATCACACTACTCACTACTCATGCTCTGGTGAGGCTTCCAGGCAGTGAGCGCAACAGATAAGAAAGCTGAAAAATGAGACTGAAGAACCCTAAACCCGAATGCCTGACTCGAGGGGACAAGATCCCACCCCCGGCTGGATCCGAAGCACGCAACGCCGCGAAGGAGTGGCGCTAGCTGCGAGCTTCGCCCGAGAATTCAGGAGCGCACCCTAAACCCTAAACCCTAAACGCTAAACCCTAGACCCTAAACCCTAAACCCTAGACCCTAAACCCTAAACCCTAAACCCCAGACTCGAAACCCCTGAGCCTCGTTTACACTCTCAGCTCCGCGCAGTTCGCACCACCTTCTCACCCAGGAAGTTTCGGATCTCGATGGTCTGTCCCAGCAGAGTCATCTTTTTTGGGGGGCTTTAGGGGGGTAAGGACAGTAGTTTTGAATATTTTTGGTGGCTTTGGGCTCTGGGGATGGTGGGTAGTGGGGTTGTGAAGTTGTTCGGCTTGGGGATTCATGAGGAAAGTAGGGTTTTTAGGGGCGTTTTAGGCTTTGGGACTCGGGGTTCGCAGGACGGTGGCCTGGTAGTTCCCATTGCCATTGCTACAACCCTTCCTTTGACGACTTGTGGGGTTTAAATTCTGAATTACGGTTTAAGGCAGTGTAGGCTTTAGAGTTCCTATCATCAGACTCTGTGGTGCTGTTTCTGTCATTCCCACTGGCCTTTTCACTGCAGCAGTCGTCGTGACTGTCATCGCTATGGTCACAGTTGCTGTCGCTGCTGCTATTGTAGTTACATGCAAATGTTTACCGTCGTTCTTAAACTCCTGCCACTCTTCTCACTTCCGGTGCCCTTCTTCTTCTGCAGCAGAGCCCTTGATCTGCTCTCCCTCGTCTCCACACTTAAACGTCTTCTGAACTGCAGCCGTAGCGTTGCACCTACCAACGAGCCCTTTCGACTCGGAGACCTGGGCCCTTTCACGAGCCCAGAACCCAGCTGGCTTTAAGGGCCATGGGCCTGTTGGGCCTGGTGGGCCTGGTGCTGGGAGGGAGGGGCGCTTTTTCCGTGACGGCCGACAGGCTTGAGACCTAGTTTTGGGGTTTTGGGGGCTTTGCCCTGCAAGGCTTCAGGATCCTGCAAGAAAGAACCCCGAGCTCCACACCCAGACCCTCCAGACTCTGCATGCCAAAAGCCCTTCAAACGCTGGCAGCTAAGCTTCTAGGGTTCTGGAAGAACGGGAGCTCTCCAGCCTTGCCGCCGTTGATGATGTTGGCATTGATGGGGAAGTGCGCATAGACGAGGCGCATCTTGTACTCGAACTTGTGTGCCACACCCTAGTCGAAAATGTAAAATTTGGGGTCGGGCTGGAGAAGTGGAGCCGAATTTCCTGAGAACCCAAGCCCTTGGGATCTGAAAGCCGTAAGCCTCCAGCACCGTCCTGCCCAAATGACCGAAACGTGACAATTGCAACTACATCCTCAAGGCCCAGAAACCTTTTATATCTGAAAATCCCAAAACCAAACAGGGACATGATCAACCGGAAGCCTAACCTGAACACAGCAAAAGCTGAAGCTTCCCTCTCAACCCACCTCGAAGAGGTTGCTGATGTGGCTGCACACCTCTGCAAATCTAACGCTGGTCAGGAGTCTTTGTGGAGCAGTAACAACAGAATGGCGACACCAATGGAAATGCAATGACTCGGCAATGACAATCGTGGAACCAGGAACGAATGATGGATAGACACGGATAAAACTAACTATGAACATGCCAGAGAACTGCAAAGGTCGAGCAAGGGCTTGCTCGACGGAACGACGTTGGGGCTTTGAGATTTTCTGGCTTCGCGGCATTAGGCTTTCGGCTTGCAGCGTTAGGCCTTCAGGGCTAAGAGTGAAGGGTGTCTAACCGATCTCCTCTCACTGCTGTCATCACTACTCACTCTGCTTCTCTGGCATCATAGTCAGAACTCGTCGTGCAGCAGCACCAGCAGCGTCAGCAGCAGCAATAGCAGCAACAACAGCAATGCTAGCAATTATATGTGTGTGTATATATATATATGCGCACATATGATGTTTTGTTCATATAGATGTACATCTATGGACATAGTCATGTTCCTATGATTGTTACAAATGTTCCTCTCAGTATCCATATTTCCACTATTCTGTGGTCTAGCTACTAGTCGTACGATGACCACCACATCAGCCCAAGCGGCACTGTTGAGCATGGAGCACTGCTTGCTCTTGGCGAAGTACATGCGCGCCACCACCTGCTCAACTTCAGCCCCAACTCCTAGACCCTCCAACTTTACTATGGCAGCTTCAGGGCTGGGAGCTGAGGACTTGGGGGTTTTTAAAGGCTTTTACAGGAATAGCACACGGGGAACCGGTGGCCCCCGAGAGTCCGTTCAGCTTGCGGCCTGCGGGCCCACGACGCGGGTCGTTAATTCCACTATTTTCGGGTGACCTCGGGTGACCTCGCTATAAATTGGCCAGCGACGAGTCGAGGCTTGGGTTGGGAAGGGTTTAGGGTTTAGGGTTTAGGGTTCAGGGTTTAGGGTTTAGAGTTTAGGGTTTAGGGTTTAGGGTTTAGAGTTTAGACTTTAGAGTTTAGGGTTT